CATTCTTCCTCTTTTATCCCGAAACAACTCATCTTTTTACTGGAATAAGGTGTGGTGCTTCCAAAGTTGTCTTACAATTGAAATCACATAGAATGAAGCCTTTTCAGACTGTCTTCCTTCACTTAAAAATAAGCATTTGAGATTCAGCTACATCTTCTGGTTTCAATGCTCCATTTTTTAAAATCACTGAGTAATAATTAATTTCATGGATATACCACAGCATGTTTATGTATTCACTACCAAGAGGCATCTTGGTAACTTCTAGGTCTGGGACATAAGTAATAAAGTTGTTATGCTTATTCATGTGCAGGCTTTTGTGTGGACTTAACAGAAGAGATGGGCAAATAAGTATCTAGGTGCACAATTGATAGATTATGTGGTAAGTCGACATTTAGCACTATATATGTCTTCCAAAGTGACTCCCACTTTTCATTCCCATAATTAATGAATGTAAGTTCTGTGGCTTCACATTCTCAGCACCATTTGATAATGTTTAATTTTTAAAGTTTTGTTCATTCTGACAGTTGTGTGGTGATATTTCAATGCTATTCTAATGTGGAATTTTCTAATGGTAGATGTTCTTGATCAGTTTCATACATGTTTACATCTCATCTGTGTATATATTTTTGGTGCTCTTTTTGCTCAAGGCTACATTGACTACTCAGAGTGTTTTGTGGTTTCATGTGAATTTTAGGATTGTTTTTCTAATTCTATAACAATTTTCATTTATAACTTGATAGGAGTACCAATTCCTTTCTTTTTTATTTGTTCTTTTTAGATATACATGACAGTAGAGTATATTTTGGCATATTATACATACATGGAGTATAACTTATTCTAGTCAGGATCCTATTTTGTGGTTTTACGTGGAGTCATCCTGGATTGTGTATTAGAATTTTAATTGGCATACGTGGACTATTCACATTATAAAGGATTTCACAACACTGGCATATTCATCCTCTTTCAGGACAACGTGGAGGTGTGTTCAACAGTTACCTAAACGGTTGTTGGTTGCCTGACTCCTGTTACTCATTGATAATGTGCTTGGATTTTCTCTTTTACTTGTCTCATTTGTACTACTCCTTCATTTGTATACCCTTCGATTAAACTATACATAAACTACTTTAAAAAAGAAGGATTTAAATATACCTGGTTCAATATGTACTACAACATTTATGTTTTTGCTCATTACTTGGTTTCTTTTTCTTCTTGTATCATTTTCTCTGTTGCTTATTCAACATGTCTTATGATTCTCTTTTCATTCCTCTATTAGTTTATTAATTATATTCATAGAAAAAACTTTTTTGGTTACCCTAGATTTTTTCCTTTTACACTTTTAACAAATCCATATCCACCTTCAAATAACAGAATTTCAGTGCATATATCATTTTCCTTCTCCTAAAACATTTTTAAAAGTTGTATTTCAATAAAAATCTATTCATTAGAAGTCCCTCAGAACTTGTCTAAGAAAATCTTAATTTTTTGCCTTCATTTTTGAAGAATACTTGCTGAGAGCCATAGCCGAGTGGGAATGACACATGGCATTTTTGCCAGAACAGAGTGGTTGAGAGGTGATGCCAGCAAGCCATTGAGATGATAATGGTTATGTTAAGCTGTGTATTCAATTGTATATTAGACCCTTGCTGTCCACCTTGACCTGCTACTTTGGAGTTCTCACGGGGATTCCTAGAGAGTTCCCATTGGTTGGGGAAGTGTGGGAGGAAGGATTTCTGGAGGAGGGATTTCCAGTTGGTGTGGTGTGTCCTGGGAGAAAGCCACTTGCGTGGCATTCACGGGAGTTCAGGAGTTCCAAAATAAAGTTTGTTCCTGCTTCAGTGGCTCGTGACTTGTGCTGCGGCAAATACTTCCATTTGTTATAGAATCCTAGGTTGCATTTTGCTTTATCCTTCAATGCTTTAAATATTCAACTTAACTTCCATTTTGATAATAGTTTTTTTTTTAGAGAAGTATGTTTTAATTCTCATCATTTTTCTCTATAAAGTATAATTTATTGTCTTCTAGCTTCTCTCAAAAATTTCTCTTTAAGCTTAATTTACTGCAGTTTGATTAGAGTATACTTAGATTTTTTTTGGGGGGGGGTCAGTTTTCTCTGATCCTTACATCTATGATTTGGTATACATCATTCATTTTGGAAAATTTTTAGCCGTTATTGCTTTAATGCTTCTTTTTCTCTTTGTTTTCCTTCTGATATTCCCCTTACATGTGAATTATATTTTTATAATCATCCCATACTTATCTGGATCTTCTGCTCTTTTGTACTTATCATTATTCCTTTTACTCTGTGTATTTCTCAGTAAATTTATAGTGAATGATCCTCAAGCTAACTTATTTTTCTCAGATGATAAACCATTCTAAAATATTTTTTAATTCTGATAGTGATTTTGATTTTATCTTTTCCTTTTGATTTTCATCCCTAGAATTTCCATCTTTCTGCTTTTTTTTCAACCTCTTTCTCTTTTATTCTACCTTTTCACAGAATCCTGAACATATCTGTCATAGTTATTTTTAATGTCCCTGGTAATTCCAACATTTGTTCATTTCTCAGTATAGGCTAATGCTTGATTTGTCTTTGGGCTTTTCTCTTGCCTTTTAGTATGTCTTGTAATTTTTTATGGAAAGTCAGACATAATGTACCATGTAGTAGGAGATGAAGTGAATAGATTTATATTCTGAAGTTTTATGTTATGCCTATGAGGAGGGATATGTTTAATATTCTTTATAGCTGTAGGTGCTAGAAACTTTATATTCTTTCAGTGTCCTTGTGTTTGTCTTCCCTATTGTGTTTGACATCCCTAAGAACTTCTTTTGATTGGTTTGTCTCACAGCGCTTTGAGGTATATTATGCCATTATAATACCAGATCCTTATTGATGTGACAGTAAGGAGTGTAGAGAAAAGTATTCTTTAATATTATGATTAAATCTCAGTCTTTGTGTGACTTTGAGACTTGGGCTATATTCTTTACAAGTTAGAGACATTAGATCCCACCTTCACCCCTTAGGGGATTGTTTATAGAAGAATTAACATTTGATGCAGAAGACTGAGTAAAGAGGTTCTGCCTTACTAATGTGCCAGGCATCACCCAAACCATGGATAGAGCACCTGTGTAGAACAAGAGCAAAAAGAAGGATGAATTCATCCTCTCTGCTTGAACTGGGACATCATCATCACCTCTCTTTGAACATCAGAGCTCCAGGTTGCCAAGTCTTAAAGAGTTGGACCAGAAATTACACCATCAGCTACCATGGTTCTCAGGCCTTCAGACTCAGACTGAAAAGACTGAATTTCTTTCATTTTTAGATCACCTAATCATGACCTTTACTGAAAACAGATAATTTTCTCCCAGAGCAGTTATTGATAGACTGCTTTATTTGCACAAATCTCTATACTTCTGAAATCAAATAGTCAAGTCTCTATTATCATAAAAACAAGCAACCAAAGATGGGCTTCCTCTATGAAGACTACAATGGAACGTCATGTTCCCTGGGGAAATAGTCCTGGAGTCATTCTCTGAGCTCTGGAAACCATCACACTTGAAAATATAAAATTGATATCATCATGCTCCAAGTTATTGTTTCACTGCTTTTAAAAGTAGTGAAATATATGCCACAATATGTCTCATTCTAAAGGTTGAAAATTTTATGCTATGACTATAATGACATCATTCTGCCTCCTACAGAAGGCTTTTGCTTAGGGAATTCAGCAAGAGGACAAAATTAACAGGAAACGTCACTTTCACACACACAGATGGAAAAATGTTAACATCTCTTGAATCCTATGACAGCCTTCTTGATGAGAACATGCATGTCACTATAAGGTACCAACGATGTGCAAACACATCTTATGAGCAGGTGCTAAACACATCTTATGAGCAGGTCACTGCTAGAAGATGGAAGCTTTGGCGGTGCTGGGAACAAAAGGTTTTTGTAGTCACAGTCTCGAGCTAAGAAATAGGAATCATATGTAAGAGATGTTCCAGACAGGATAAAAGTTAGGGACACTTTGGTGACAATGTACAGAGGTGGCCTTCCTACTTCTATTTAACCTTCATTTCACAGATCATGCAGAAATCCTACTTCTCACTGAAAGATTATGTGAAATAAAGTAATTTTCTACTAAAAGTCTAAATAATGTTATGACCATTCCAATATGAAAAAGAAATATGTGACCTTTGTCTTTCTTGAGGCCTGACCTCGTAGAGGAGAATTATAAAAACTGTGCAGTAATATTTGTCAAGTTGGTTTTTCTCAGAGACCTCTTTGTGCTTCTTCACTTCTTAAATGTATTTCCAAAATGCCAATATTCTGAGAACAATAGAGAATGACAAAAAAATTTTTCATAAGAACAGTCAAAGGCATATATGGCCAGTTCTATTTCTAGAAAGAATGTTAACATAAGTTTTATATACACAAGACGGAGGAAATAGTCTTTTCTTTGCCATGAGTAATCCTAGGAAAGTTTTTTTTTTTCTCTCTCTCTCTCTGAATGTTCGCAGAGCTAGAGAGTGAGGATTAGAAAAGCAGTGCTTTTTATATTTGTGGAAATATATGACAAATGGAATCTAGAAGATTTTATACTGAAAAAGAAAAAAAGATTTGATCAGAGCACAGGAGAGGTATAAAGGGATATTAAGCATTAGTAGCCAATCAATCCAGGTTATTACTCAAAGGACTGAAAGAGAAATTAAGGTAGTTTCCAGTTTCCTTTCTCAGTCCTAAAACACACACACAAACTACACACTGCATACACTTGCACAAATATCCTTTCTAGCACACTACTCCATTAATTATCTTCTCTCTAGTGTCTTTGCAATTTGTTCCTTTATCTCCCTCATTCATATTAGAAAAGCACTTTCCTCAGTTCAACTTACTTTTCAAGTTAAAGCCCAATGTTCTTCCTCTGTAACTTTTTCTTGCACCCTTAATATCTGCATTCGTGAAAAAAAAAATGTTACTATTAGGAATTAAAATACACATCAAATCCAGATAATTGTAGGCAAACTTTATTTACTTTTCCCCATCCTTTGAAGGCTCATGAAAAAGGGTCTTTTTCTTAACAATTTCCTTCTCATATTCCTTTAAGGCCTCTTACCCCTAGTATCTTGAATCTTCTTTTCTTAGATTTGACCTTCATGTGATAGATTATCAGAAATAATAAGGAACTGGGATCATTAATAATAAAGAGTTTAGGCATTACTTTTTAGGTAAGTATATTCCAAAGTTTACTTTTTAGAATAATAGACTGATAAACATTAATAAGTGTGTTTAAACTACTCCATGATCACAAATGAGTCTGGTCCTAAAAGTCTGACCATATTGAAATAGGTTTTTCTCTATTAGAAAAAATTCTTTACAGCTAATTTACCTTATGGTTTTTCCAAGAATTACAATTTCTAGAATATGCCTTGGGAATTTGCTTTAGGTAATGAGGGGTCACAGAAGAATTTAGCTTCTAATTTTAAAGAGTATTCAAGCAACAGTACAAAAGATGGCTTGAAGGTAGAAGAATATATATGGTCACATCTTGTCATTTGAGAACAGAAGCAAAAGGATAAAGCAAAAACAGGACTTTGAGAAATTAGTTGCAGTATTATTGGGACAACAATTGTGGTCTGAATAGGTAGTGTCACAGGAAAAGATAATGGAGAGGACAAAGACTTTTAAAGCAGTTTTTGAAGAAGTTAGATTCAACAGAATTCAGCTGGCTAGTTACAAGAAGGCAGAAAGGTTCAATGCACGACTAACATGGATCTGACTGAAGGGTTATAATATGATATGGAAATTCAAGTCCAGGGTGGCATGTGGGGCACTAGGAGGACCAGTGGAGGGCTGCTGCCCTCTGAACAGCACAAGAGAAGGGGAGAGGAAACATCTACAATTTTGCAAAAAAAACTAATCCTTCTTTTTCATGTCATGTAGCTATGTAGGGTGAACAATTATTACATATGATTTCTTCTTTCAGGGATTATTTCTAGTTGCTTCCAATGGTATTCAGTCCTATAGAAGATTGATTGATATATTTAGTTGCCAGTATAGCTAAGACAGAATTCAGGTCTAGTTCCAAATTGGAAATTCATGATTATTCACTCTGTTAACTTCTTCAAGTGATCCTACTTCTATTTAAAAAAAAAATAGCATTTTATAAGCTTCAAAAGAGACACTTGAAACCATATTTTTCTCTGTTTATCTTTTCATCTTCCAGCTCTGCTTTTTTCACCTTCCATAATGCCTCTTATATCCAGACAACTTCAAAATAATCCTGAAAGATACAAAAGTAGAAATGAACAAGCGGAAAGGCACCTCATTGTTGTCAGTGGAAAGACATCATGATGATGTAACTTACATGAAATTATCATTAGTTTCTTGTCCCCCCCCCCAAACTAAACAGAGTTCAGCTAGGATAAAAGTAAGAGTACGCTGGAAAAAAAAAGAATGATTTTTAAATAAGAAAAATAATGATAACATAGCCTTAGAATTTAGGAGCACATGTATAAGTCTCCAGTAATTAAAATAATATGAAATACAGGCATGAAGAGACAGGGGGTGTAATCCAGAGAAGGGAGCTTCTATGGGTTAGATATTAGGTGTTCTCCAAAAGCTCATGTGTGAGACAATGCAAGAAGGTTTAGGGGAGAAATGACTGAGTAATGAGTGCCTTGACTCAATCAGTGAATTAATCCGCTGATGGGATTAACTGGGTGGTAACTGAAGGTGGGTAAAATGTGGCTGGAGGAGGTGGGCATTGGGGATATGACTCCAGAGTACATAGTTTGTATAGGGTGAGTGGAGTCTCTCTCTGCTTCCGACCATCATGTGAGCTACTTCCCTGTACCACACTCCTCCAACATGATTTCTGTCCCACCTGAGCCCCGAGGAATGGAACCAACTGCTTATGGATGAGACCTCTGAAACCATGAGCCCCCAAATAAATATATCTTCCTCTAATTGTTTGTTAGGTCTCTTAGTCATAGCAGTGAAAAAGCTGAGTAAAACAGGAAGCATTTATAATAACTTCAAACACAAAAATTTGACTATGTATCCTTAGTTGTTTACATTCCGAAACCAAACAAACAAAAATTAGATATTTTGATACTTAGTGTCATGTGTAACAATGAAACAGACATGATGAGACCATTATAGTACTAGTGGGGGGGCAGTGGGACAAATGAAGATTTATATGAGGATCCTTGAAAAATAAAATTGTTGAAATGAGAGGAGCATGTTTAGGATTTTTAACCACTTTTAATATCTTCTTTAATTCATGATTCATTTTAAACTTAAGAATACACATTTCTTAGCTTTGTATTCTGAAAATATATGAAAAGCAATATCTAGTTCTACACATTTTACATCTAAATTATGGTTTTTCAATTCCATTGCATAATATAAGGAATAAAATATATCACATATATATATATATTTTTTTTTAAAGAGAGAGAGAATTTTTTAATATTTATTTTTTAGTT